GGTCTGTCTGTCCATGTTGGCAACTAATTTCAGGGTCCGTGGTGCCCATGCTCCACTTATATTTACGAACATGGCCTGGCTCCAGCAATGTTTGGGTTTATATTTTCAGAACCCTCCTGCCCACAGGATAGACCAGGGTGACTGCCCCAGGCCCCACACTTTGGTGGGCCCCAAACTTCAGGAGACACAGGGTCCAGAACGGCCTGGTGAGTTAGCCGGAGCCCTTGCACCAGCAGCAGAAAGCAACCCAGCCTCAGCCTATTGCTGCTCCATCCCGTTCCCAGGCCACCCCTTCCCTCAAGCCCCGCCTCTGCCCACTTCTGCTCTGCCCCCACTTTTCCTCCACTCCATCCAAACTTCAGCTCCACCCCTTCCCAGCTGAGCTCCACCCTATTCCACCCCTTATCCCAAGCTCCCATCACACTTATTTCTAGCCTCTATCCCAGTATTTCTTAAACTACGTTCTGCGGAATACTGGTGTTCCGTGAACAACTCACAGGTGTGCCACGACCTCTTCTTTGTTACTGTTTTGTTTTTGTCTTTTTTTTTTGGTCTGACGACAATTTTTTTTAAGAAAATTTTCATAGGTGTTCCATATAAAACAATGTTATTGTTTGGTGTTCTGTGGTCTCAAAAAGTTTAAGAAACATGGCTCTATCCCCTACTACAAGCAACACTGGAAACTGGCAAGGTGTGGCCAGATTGCTCATTACTGCTGGCACAAGGCCCCACCCCAACCCTCCAGGCTGCCCTGGACTACATGTACCCCAAAAGCATGGGGCCCAGAGCCCTGGTCCATCCTTTGGATGAGACAGCTCTGCTTGGACCCATTCTGGCCACCACCAAAATCATACAAACTTGGCCCCCATGGCTTGCGAACAGGTGAGTGCTAACAGGGAGTTTAGAGAGGGAGTTCTCCAGGTAAAGGAGAAGCAGATACAGGACTCTTGAGGGAAGTGTGTATTGTGTTTGGGGCTTTCTTGCTGTGTACTGAGCTTGTGTTTGTGAGTGAGGGTTGGTGTGTGGTGGGTGTTTTTTTTTTTCTCTGTTTTTGAGTGAGGCTTTAGAGAGGGAGTTCTCCAGGTAAAGGAGAAGCAGATACAGGACTCTTGAGGGAAGTGTGTATTGTGTTTGGGGCTTTCTTGCTGTGTACTGAGCTTGTGTTTGTGAGGGTTGGTATGTGTTCTTTTTTTGTTTTTATTTGTTTTTTTCCCTTGTGTTTGTGAGTGAGGCTTCCCCCCACTTCCTCTGCCCCCTCCCCTTCATGGAGTGTGTGCTGTGATTGGCAGGTGGAAACTGTTGGCTTCTAATTAAAGTTTGAATTCTAGAAGCCTCTGCTGATTGGCTGAGCCTTGGTAGGGGGAGGGACTTTCAGGCACTCCAGGGCTTTATAAGGCAGTGGGCAAGTGACCAAGGAGCTTGCAAACAGGTGAGTGCCAACAGGGAGTTTAGAGAGGGAGTTGGGAAGGGCGTGAGGTTCTCTTGCCTTTCTTTTTAAATCCCTTCTCCAGGACAGCAGCGATGGATGGTGATAGGTCTGCTGTTGTTACCTGCACAGTGTGTGCCATGTTTGTCTTCCTCCCAGAAGAAAGAACACATTACAACTGCACTAAGTGCAAGATGGTTGCCATTTTGGAAGAAAAAGTTAGAGGACTGGAGGCCCAAGTGTCGACCCTATGCTCAATCAGAGAGGATGAAGACTTCCTCGATAGAAGGCAGCGTTTAATCCTTCAAGCACGGCAGGCAGAAGAGCCTGAGAGAGGGCAGTACGTGACCAGGAAGAGAACTGGAAGTATGTAACTTCTAGAAGGGGGGGGAAAAGGCCAGCATGCTATAGAGGTAAGGAATCGCTTTCAGGCTCTCGCCACAGACTCTGCAGTGCTGAATGCTTTGGAAGGGACCTCACAAGGAAGAAACTGGAAAGGAACACCATCTACTGGAAGGCATGGGATGTGTAGTCCTAGGGATGGGGGTTCCACGGCCGGCCACCCCCAAAAGGAAACAACGGGTGGTGGTGGCCAGGGACTCCCTCCTAAGAGGGACTGAGCCATCCATCTGCCGTCCGGACCTGGAATCTCGAGAGGTGTGCTGCTTACCGGGAGCTCGCATTCAGGATGTGACTGAGAGGCTTACCAAACTGATCAAACCTTTGGATCGCTACCCCTTCCTGCTTCTCCATGTGGGAACTAACGATACGGCCAAGAATGACCTTGAGTGAGTCACAGCAGATTATGTAGCGCTAGGAAGAAGAATCAAGGAATTTGAAGGGCAAGTGGTGTTCTCGTCCATCCTTCTGGTTGAAGGAAAAGGTCTAGGTAGGGATCGTTGAATTGAGGAAGTAAATGCGTGGTTGCGCAGGTGGTGTCGGAGAGAGGGCTTTAGTTTCTTCAACCATGGGAATCTGTTCCGGGCACAAGGATTCTTAGGAAGAGATGGGATCCAAAATAGAGATGGGATTCGAAATAGCGCCATAACCAAATATGCAAATGAAGCACGGGATATTTAAATCCCGGCTTCATTTGCAATTTTGAATGTCTACATTTGCATCCCTCTCTCAAAAGAGGGTGCAAGTGTAGACTTACCCTAAGGGATCTACACTAAGGCTATGTCTACATTGGTAAGATTTTTGCGCAAATACTTTGAATGCAAGAGTTTTTGCGTTAAAGTATTTGCGCAAGAGAGCATCTACACTGGCATGTGCTTTTGCACAAAAGCATCCGTACCGGTGTAGACGCTCTCTTGTGCAAGAAAGCTCAGATGGCCATTTTAGCCATCGGGCTTTCTTGCACAAGAAATTCATGTTGCCTGTCTACACTGGCCTCTTGCGCAAGAACAGTTGTACAAGAGGGCTTATTCCTAAGCGGGAGCATCATAGTTATTGCGCAAGAAGCACTGATTTCACACATTAAAACGTCAGTGTTCTTGCGCAAGAACTCCCTGCCAGTGTAGACAGGCAGCATGTTTTTGTGCAAAAGCGTGTGCTTTTGTAGAAAATCATGCCAATGTAGACACAATCTAACTAAATGATAACACTATAATGACTTAACAATGGTAACTATTTACAGGGAAAACAGAGTCCAACAATAGGAAAAGCCACCACAGCTAAAGCTGAGGCAAGCAGGTTTCAAGCACCATCACTGGCAGCAAGAAGGAGCTGAGGGTGGAGGCAGCTGGAGGCACCCTCTATAGCGCAGCATGTGCATTCCACACCTGGAGGTGCCTGAGCTAGGTCCCTATGGGTACTGCTAAGGGAAGTTCTTCCAGCGCTGGTCCACGTGGTGAGCACATACACCTATGTTAAGTGGACATGAGCAAGTATGCGAAGAAGAACCACAACATGCTGACCGTAGTACTGTGTAACATTCCCTTTTTGTATGTGTAACTTAGAAACTAACAGCCAAAGCCAGCACTCCTTGCTCAAGTACATGTCAGTGGGGCTACATCTACATTGGCGTGATTTTGTGCAAGAACTCTTCCCGAAGAGAGCGTCTACACTGGCATGTGCCTTTGCGCAAGAGATGTGCTTTTGCGCAAGAGCAGTGTAGACACTCTCTTGAGCAAGAAAGCTCTGATGGCCATTTTAACCATAGGGCTTTCTTGCACAAGAAATTCATGTTGCCTGTCTACACTGGCCTCTTGCGCAAGAACAGTTGTACAAGAGGGCTTATTCCTGAGCAGGAGCATCAGAGTTCTTGTGCAAGAAGCACTGATTTCATACATTAGAACGTCAGTGTTCTTGCGCAAGAACTTGCGACCAGAGTAGACAGGCAGCAAGTTTTTGTGCAAGATCACAGCCGCTTTTGCGCCAGATCGTGCCAATGTAGACACAGCCTGGGAGTTTTCCCTAAGAAAAGGCAATAGGTTTAGATCTTAAGGGCTAAATCTTGGTTTCATCGAAGTCATTTGGAATTTTGCCATTGGTTTCAATGGAACTGTGATTTGGATTTCAGAAATGCAAGAGAGACAGGCAGATTTTCATATTTTTAATGAAAATACAATTCACTTTAATGACAAAGTAAAAGACAGCAAATGAGACATGCAAATAATATGTATGAAAAACCAAAGCCAACGTAAAGTGCCTATTTTCAGATTCTACGGGAGAGTTAACTTATGGACAATGACAAATTACAGTCTTGGAGCTACTATGATCAGCCTGCATTTGGCAGATGGGAAGGGCCCAAATCCTGCTCAGTATTCTCCTCAGAGTGTTGCTGCTCTTTCTATCTTTTCCAAGTGGACTTGGGGAAAGAAATATCCATGTTGGCACTTGCCAGGGCCAATTTGCTTACATGTCATCCCACATGCATCATCTCTTAAGAGCCAACAACAGACCTACATTCCTAGAATCCTGCAAAGACGTATGAATGTGCTTGCCTTTAAGCACAAGTGTTGTCCTCATACTTCAGTTAAGCATATTTGTAAACATTTGCAAGACCAGGGCCTTGAGCATCAATATTCTGCTTTCCCTAACTATGTGGAAATCTTCGTTGTTGGAAATATATACATACTGGAACCTCGATCCTCCATGAAAACCTGACAGCAACATTTTTACTACGCTCCCATATTTTTTATGGAAATGAGTTAATATGAATATGCAAAACTCAAATATGCTTTATGCAAATCAGAGCATGTGACCTATCATTCAAGAGACTGCAATCCCCTGGGCTGTGTCTAGACTGGCCAGTTTTTCTGGAAAATCAGCCGCTTTTCCAGAAAAACTTGCTAGCTATCTACACTGGCCGCTAGAATTTCCGCAAAAGCACTGACTTCCTACTGTAAGAAATCAGTGCTTTTTGCGGAAATACTATGCTGCTCCCGTTCGGGCAAAAGTCCCTTTTGCGCAAAAGTTTTGCTCAAAAGGGCCAGTGTAGACAGCTGAGATTTGTTTTCCGCAAAAAAGCCCCGATGGCGATCGGGGCTTTTTTGTGCAAAAGCGCGTCTAGATTGGCCACGGACACTTTTCCGCAAAAAGTGCTTTTGCAGAAAAGCGTCCGTGCCAATCTAGATGTTCTTTTTCGAAAATGCTTTTAACGGAAAACATGCGGAAAATCATGCCAGTCTAGACGTAGCCCTGGTATATGTATTCCATGTGTGTGCACATATCATTCTTGTATGCATAGTTCAAAATATAAAGGGTAAACCTGTTTATTAATCTAGATCTTCTAATGAAAGCCATTAGTGGTACTTAAGGGATTTAATGGCCCGGAGCTCAAGACCAGGATCTGTGAATATTCTTGTTTTTCCTGTAAGCCCAAACTGCGGTTGGTCCTATGAAGACATGTGACCATGCCACTTGGAGCTGGAATCCATCTTGAATTTGGTATTTTTCCCCAGGAGTGAGGAGGGGGAATGGGACAAAGACTTTGCACCCTGCGGAAATTCTATTTAAGGGATGGGAAGCAAATAATGAGGGTCTTCAGCTCTCTTCACATATTGCTCCCCTCCACAAGAGGATAAAGAATTCTAATAAGGAATGGTGGAGAAGCAGCTGGGCCCAGGTTAGAAAAAAGATCAGCTTTGGCCTGAAGAATTTTATCTAAAATAAGGAATGGGGTGAAAATTATGCTTTATAACAATTTCTTTTAACTTCGCTGGTATATTTTGTTTTATTTTTAGCTTAGTAACTTACTTGGATCTGTCTGTCATCCTTTGCCATCACTTACATCCAACTTTTATACTTAATAAAATCACTTTTGTTTAGTAGCAAGCCCAGTGTAAATAACTGTTACTGGGGGTTGGGGTGAAGCAACAGCTGTGCATCTCTCTCTTTTGTTGGTAAAGAAAGTGAACTTTATGAGATTTCTCTGTTTAAAACTTACACAAAGAGATTTGGGGTTTTGGTCCCATTGAGGCTGTGCTCCTGGATGCTGACAAGTCTCTGTAACTGCACCCTCCACAGCTGAGTAGTTATCAGTGTCTGTTACTCTGCTAGGGGGCTGATACCCTGGGGATGATACCCCAACTCTGTGCCAGGGCTGGGGGAGACCAGAGATTCTGGCTTAGCAGGACAGGGTGGTAGGACCCCCCAGAGGGCAGACAGGTGGGCTCAGTAGTTTGAGCAGCACATCAGGGGACAATCTCAAGGGGATCGCTGTGACCCAACCCATCACAGACTGTTCTTCCTCTGGCAGATTTCCCAGTAGCACTGGGTCCCTGAGGATACACAGCCCATTTACTGGAATTCAGTGCTTATCCCCAAAACATGCACCACACTCATGGTATCTTCCCCTCTCATCTGGCCACCTGACTCAACTACAGATCTTTCATTCCATTGAACAGGATTCTACTGATGTCCCTATTTAACATAAGGGATTGTTTTACGCTGGCTGTAACTAAAGTGGATGGATGAACATATTACAATAAGCAGGGCTCGACAAATTGTACAATCTACTCGCCCATGGCGAGTAGATTGTAACCCGGAAGAGCCTGGTTCAGGCAATCTGCACATGTGCAGATCGCCGAACAGCGTGGCTGGAGAGCGGGGCTTGCTGCAGTTTGGTGAGCCCTGACAATAAGGGACTAATTTATATTCTCAAATCTTCCCTGTGAATCAAGAGAGAAAGCTACATGTGGCACATGAAATGGAATATAAAGAGAGAAAGCTATATATGGCACATAGGATAGTGGTTTTCACATTTTCACTGGGTTGCCTTGCTCAGCACCCAGGGACCCTGGCAGCTAGCGAAAGCTGGTAGGGTTGCTAGGTGTCCGGTATTTTTTTGCTCAACATTGGTCCCCTGGGTTTTTTTTTTTTTTTTTTTTAAAACAACGAATTTTATTCCTGCCATGTTCGGTATTTTTTGTGAAAGCATCTGGCAACCCTAAAAGCTGGGTCATGACCTGCATTTTGAAAACAACTGGGGAGTCCCTGTTCTGACACCGTATGTCCTGGAAGCAGCTAGCAAGTCTGGCTCCTAGGCAGGGGGGCCACTGGGCTCCCTGTGCTGCCCCCGGCCCAAGCACCAGCTCAACACTTTCATTGGCTGGGAGCTGGGGGGGCGGTGCCTGCAGATGAGAGCCATTTGTGCACCTCCGCCTAGGAGCCAGACTTGCTGTTGACCATGTCCGGTGTGCAGTGTGATCCAAAAGAAAGCCTGCCTCTGCACTCCTGCTGCACCAATGACTGGGAGTCATTAGAGGTAAGCCCATTCCCCAGTGCCCAGCCCCATTCCACAGCCCTCACCCCTGCACCTCAACTCTCTGCCCCAGCCCAGAACCCCGCTCACACCTCAAATTCCTCATCCCCAGCTCCGATGGGCTGTGGGTATCAATTATTTTCTTCAACCCGGGTTGCTAGGAAAAAAGTTTGAAAACCATTGACTTAGAGTAACTGCCTCGCTCCTGTAAGTACAGATCCCTGCTTCTCATTACTGCCATTTGATAGAGCTGCTTTAACAAAAACAGGACGGATCAGGCAGAATTTGTAAAAAGGAGGGTGAAAATAGAGAAAAGCAGAGGAACAAAACACATCCGCTGTTAATTCCCTGCCATGCTAAAGATGTTATCCCTGCATCATGATATAAAAGCCTCCTATCCAAAACCTGAAGCTCTATAAAGCTTTATTTCTTGCATCCCTGCAATTCACAGTTTAAGTCTTCAGTTTCCATAAGAACTGCAAACTAGTCCCTGTTGATATGATTTATAGTTAAGGATCCTTCTTCATCTAAACCATACAGCCAGAAAGCAGGGTAAACAGGGTGTAGGATACTGATTTCAAATCGATGCAGGAGCATTTCTTTATCAGTGAGAGAGTAAAAGGACAGGTGATTGTTTTCAAGATCAAGGAAAACTCCAACCGTCAGGGGCCTTTGATCACTTAACCGGGTTTCCCGGTTATTGTGCCAAGCTGACAATTGTTTATTCTTATCGGACCATTCCACACACCAGGATAGTTCGGTTCTTCCCAGCCGATCGGTTCTGCCAATATTTCCATTTGCAACTCCAACAGCCCATCCACTGCTGTCCTTGGTACTTACTTCCCAGTAATGGCGTCCATCAGAGAAACTTTGGGAACACATGACTTGGCTGATGCGGAATCTCTTCGCAGTTGGTTTATAAGAAGTTGAAAAATGGGAGACGATCACTTTCTTGTTCTCAGATGTGATATCCAGTTTAGAGGGGATGCTTTCTGGATCAAAGGTCACGTTCACTGCCCCTAAAACAGATAATGGGAAATTTCCTAACCTGAAAGCATCAGGGAGACTGGACAATGAAACATTTGCAACAAAGATGAAACACAGCTGAAAGTTGGGGTCCTCTCTGAATACTGCTACATGTATCCCTCATTAGGGTAATCCAAATGCCAACCCTCTAGCAGTGATCAAACACTGAGGCTTCACAAAAGAAAACAATAGTAATAATAATTAATTCAGATATTGACTGATCTGGAAAACTGTTGAGAACTATCAACTCCCTCTGAACTCCAGGGACCAAATCTAAGATCAAGTCCTTACTCAAGCTAACTCCATTGTCTGTCTGCCAGTTCTGAATAAAAACTCAATAAAGACTCTGGATTTGGTTCACAGACTTCAGCAGAGGGCATCTAAAACTTCAAATCTGTCTCCACTCACAGTCTTACAATACAATGATCCTATTACCAATAGTAATGGAATATTTACCCATCAGAATTCATGTAAGCAACTCATGTGAACAAGTTACCATATGGTTTTAGTCTGATAAATTTGCATAGTGGTTCAGCTACAGCTTCAGTACTTTGTATTATGCAGTAAAAAATTCCTTTAAAATAAATCATGTATTGGAAAGAAAAACAGCCAGATCCTTAGCTGGTGTAAATGGGCATTGCTCCTCTTATGTCAATGAAACTACCTCAAATCAGCAGGTGAGGATCCAGCCATGTGGGTGAACATTCTAATCCCCTTCATTTTAATGTTGCTCACAAACTGGTCACATTGCTTCACATACTTACACTGAGAAAATTGACTTGAAATAACCGGTTTTGGATTGTCATATGCAGAATCCACAGACATGGCACAGGCACTTGTGTCCTGAAGTAAATCTACAGGTTCTGATAAATGGGAGAGGGGGAAAGTCTCTCTGTTAGTAGTTTGTTTTAAAAAATAAAAGGCAAGTAACAGGTAACACAGGTCATGCTGGCTATAAGTCCAAGATACGTTCGAAAAACCTTGGACTTATAGCAAAACAACTTAAAGCGGGGAATTTTTCTCCAATGACTGACTTCCATTTGCGCAATTTTTTTTTTTTTTTTTTTTTTGCGTGCGACTTAAGAGCGGGGAATGGGAGGACTTATAACGCATCGGTTCTTACAAGCGTTAATAACTTTAGTGTGTAACGGATGTATACTGGGGCAACTTATAGTGGGGATGCCCTCTAACAAAAATAGTGTTGCAATAGCTAATAGTTAGAATACATGTCCAACAGGAAAAAAATAATAGCTGGTATTTTTATAATGCTTTCTGACCTAAATTTCTCCGTGAATTACTCATGCAAAGATGTTTGTGCAGCTGACACATATACGCTGCATCCACAATTATCAAAACATTTTGCCTGGAGCTGCAGTGACTATACTTACACATGACTAATTACATGTGTAACAGACCCATGAGGCATGACAGGTAACCACAAATTAACTCTCTGTTCTATGCAGGTTCTTCTGTGCTCATCATTGAGGTGTGTGTAATGGCATGTATATTTCTAAAACAAATAACCTCCACTCATAGAACATTCTGATTTGCAGTAACACTTGTAATGCATATTTGCAAGACTGCCAGTTGGAACTCTCTTTGAACATCTGAGTCACTCTCAACATTGATCTGCACAGTTCTAGTGGAAGGTTTTTTTGGCACTAGTGTTTTAGAAACAACTCTGCTTTTATGTTCATACTTTTATGTTCTGTTGCTGCCTGATGAATAGAGTCCTAATCCTGCAAACTCTTCTATGCAGGTTTAAAACTAAACCTGGGACTATGTTTGCAGAATTGGTACCCCAGTTCCCACAGCGTAAAGACTATACCTGAAAGGAGAGGAACAAAAAATAGAAAGAGACTATTCATTGGAAGGATTTACTAGGGAGGACCTGCTCACAGCTAACTCCTCTTGGTTACATTATTCTGGTGTTTTCTCGTTAATGGGGAAGCAACAAGACCTCATTCAATTTCTCTCCTTCAGTTTCTTACTGCATCTGAAACATTTTTGGGGCAGGGATTTTGTCTTTATTTCTGTTTGTACAGCACCTAGCACACTATGCTTTATAAGTAATAATTTCTACTGTAGGCCTGTGGTCCTTAGGTTGAAGATCTCCTAATTATCTGCTAAGTGGTTAGGTCCTCCTTCTTAAACATCAGAACAGTACTAGGGACATGAGCAAATATTTTGAGCCAAATCCCAAAGTCCTTGCTAAGGCTCAGCTCTCTGTGAGCAAGTACTTGGGAATTTGACACATTCTTAGAATCATAGAATACTAGGACTGGAAGGGACCTCGAGAGGTCATCGAGTCCAGTCCCCTGCCCTCACGGCAGGACCCAGTACTTCTAGAGTCTAGACCATCCCTGACAGATGTCTATCTAACCTGCTCTTAAATATCTCCAGTGATGGAGATTCCACAACCTTCCCGGTCAATTTATTCCAGTGTTTGACCACCCTGACAGTTAGGAACTTTTTCCTAATGTCCAAGCTAAACCTCCCTTGCTGCAGTTTAAGCCCATTGTTTCTTGTTCTAGCCTCAGAGGCCAAGATGAACAAGTTTTCTCCCTCCTCCTCATGACATCCTTTTAGACATCTGAAAACTGCTATCATGTCCCCCCTCAATCTTCTTTTCCAAACTAAACAAACCCAATTCTTTCAGCCTTCCTTCATAGGTCACATTCTCTAGACTTTTAATTATTTTTGTTGCTCTTCTCTGGACCCTCTCCAATTTATCCACATCTTTCTTGAAATGCGGTGCCCAGAACTGGACACAATACTCCAACTGAGGCCTAACCAGTGCAGAGTAGAGCAGAAGAATGACTTCTTGTGTCTTGCTCACAACACACCTGTGAATGCATCCCAGAATCATGTTTGCTTTTTTTGCAACAGCATCACACTGCTGACTCATATTTAGCTTGTGGTCTACTATAATAATCTACTTCTAGACAGCATTTCTTTTACATAAATTGTTTACATTCATACCTAAAAAGTAAAGAGAGCTAGAAACAATCACTGATTTGTTTCCAAATGGATTCTAGTCAGTTTCACTTTCTGGTTCCCATGATCCATGGAACAGCACACTATTATTCTGACTTCAAAACTGCAAGGGAATTTGGAACACTCCCTCCCCTTCAAAAAAACCCCACTAAGTTTCAAATATGCTAAAATCACCTCTCTCTTTCTGTAAGAGTCAGAAACAATTTGAGCCTAAACTTCCGAGCTGTGTCCCTTTAAGTCAGTGGTCACCAACCAGCAAACTGGGATCCACTGGTAGATCTTGGAGCCTCTGACAGGTGATCTTGACTGGCTTGGCCAAGAGGCTGTCAAATGCCAGCACGTCAGCTGCCCCTCCCCCCTCTGCTGCTCATCTCCTGTCCTTTGCCTATGAGCTGTCCCCGCTTGCTGTGCAGGGCATGGAAGGGAGAGGAGGGGGTGCTGATGTCAGGGTGCCCCCTTATACCCTGTATTCTATCTCCACAGAATGGAGGGGGACACAACAGGTCTTAGGCTGGAGGGAATTTGCTGGATGCTTTTGAGAGCGGTGCAGGGCCAGGGCAGGGGTGAGCCTGTCTTAGCACTGCTGCACCATCACCCAGGAGCCACCTGTGCTAAACAGCATCCAGCAGGAGACTGCATCCTGAACTCCTGCCCCAGTCATAAACCCCCTCCTGCACCCCCAGCTCCTGCCCTCGCCTGGAGCACCCCTAGACACAAACTCCCCCTCAAAGCCTGTATCCTGAACCCCCTCCTGCACCACAACCCCTGTCTCAGGCTCAGCTCAGAGCCTCTCTCCAAATCCATTAATCCAAGACCAGAACCTACACCCCAACCCTCTGCCCCTTCCTGATGAAAGGGAGGAAGGATGGGGGGGGGAGGGAGGATAGGGTGAGCAGGGGGGGGCCTTGGAGAAGGGGTACAAAGGAGGCGAGTCAAGGGTGTTTGGGTCTGAAGTAGATCCTAGATTGCACTTAAATTCAAAAAAGTGATCTCGCGCTTCAAAAGGTTGGAGACCCCTGCTTTTAGTAATACAAGTACGACCCTGCAATCAAGGTGCGAAACAAGCTGTTGACCTCAGTGGAAGGTGACACTGCACAGAGACTCCAGAAGTCACCAGCATCTTGCAGGATCAAGTCCTGTAACAAGTCAAGAGGTTTCACCACAAAAGACGACACAAGTAAAATACATTTACCTTGTGGCAGCTGTGCTGGATAATTCTTCAATATTATTGTTTCCAATTGCTTCTTGAGGTCCTCTACCGCACTTGTGACAACACAAATCTTCCTATGATCGAGTGTAATTTTCTGCGTTATTATCGGAGAGTCTGTGCTGGTATCCTAAGGAGGACAGAAGAGCTGAATGCACAAGTGGTTTGAGCTAAACAAATAGCAATAATTTCATCAAGAGTTTCTGGCAATTTCAGAAAACCAGGAGAGGAAAGCACCAGTCAGTCTTAGACTTTACAGAGAGAATTTTCTTTATTATAATGTGACCAGAGGAGAAGCTGAAACTGCTGAAAATATCGAAAGATACGTTCTTGACCAAAAATGGAAATAACAGATTTTGCCCACTGAACTCACAGGGATTTGTCTTTGCAATCAGATTGTAGTTTGTTTAAATAAACAGCCCCTCCGTCCCCACAAACAGATAAGATTTCTTTCTCTCTCAATTTTCTTCTCAGACTCTAGAGATCTGGGCTGGGGTGGAGGGAGAAAGAAATCAGAGTTTTTAAAAACAAATCAGTCTTAGATTATTAGAATTCACAGCCAGAGGACACCACTGGGATCATTTAGTACAGCGAGGTGGGATGAGGGTTAGCCAGGGTTAGTCCCTGGAGAGCCGTCAGATCTTTTATTTACCTGAGTGTCCGCAGGTAGGGTCACTTGCAGCTCCCGTTGGCCACGGTTCACTGTTCCTTGCCAATGGGAGCTGCAGGAAGCAGTGTCCTGGCCCGTGCTGCTTCCTACAGCTCCCATTGACTGGGAATGGCGATCTGCAGCCAATGGGAGCTGCAATCATCCGTACCTGTGGAAGCAGAGATAAATATCATGGCAGCAGCCCACCAAGCGCTAACCTGGCAAATCACCTCCATCTTATTGCCCATCCCTGCCATAGAACCTCCCTGAAAAAATGACTAGAGCGTATCTTTTAGAAAAATATTCCAAACTTTAAAGCCATAAAAATTGCCAGTGACAGAGAATTCACCACAACCTTCCTTATTTCCAGTCTGGATTTATCTAGCTTCAACATGCAATCATTAGATCTTGTCACACCTTTCTCTGCTAGACTGAAGAGCCCTTTATCCAATAACCGTTCCCCGCGTAGCTATTTATAAACTGTAATCAAGTCACTGCTTCACCTTCTCCTGCCTTGAGGGCGGGGGGCTGGACTCGATGACCTCTTGAGGTCCCTTCCAGTCCTATTATTCTATGATTCTCCTTGTAAAGTTGAATAGACAGAGCTGCTTGAGCCTTTCACTAGAAGACTTGTGTTCTAATACTTTTAATCCCCCTCGGAGTTCTTCTCTGACCCCATTTTCAACATCCATCTTGAATTGTGGGAACCAGAATAGGACACAGGGCCTAGCAGCAGTTGCACCAGTATCAAATACAGAGGTAATACAACTTCTCTACTCGCAATTCCCCTGTTTATGCATCCAAGGATTATATTAGCCCTTTGGGCCACAGCTGCATTACACTGCACAGGGCCAAGAACCGATCCCTGCAGATCCCCAGTAGAAACATATCCTCTCAGTGTTGATTTCATTTTGAGACCTATCAGTAGCCAGTTTTTAATCCATTTACGGTGTACCATGTTAATTTTGTACATTCTAGTTTTTTAAACAGAACATTGTATGGACCCATGTAAAACGCCTCACTGAAGTCTAAGTATATTCCATCTGCACTATTACTTTTAACAACCACACTTGTAATCTCATTTTAAAAAAAAGTCAAGTTAGTTTGACACGATCTGTCGTCTATAAACCCATGCTGATTGACATTTGTTAATTACCCCCATTAGTTCTTTATTACTGAAGTCTCTTATCTCTCTCTCCATTTTGCCCCAGATCAACAACATATTAACAGGCCTCTAATTCCTTGGACCTATAATTCCCCAGGCCATCCTATTTACCCTTTTAAAATATTGACATATTAGCTTTCTTCCAGTTATTTGGAACCTGCCCCCTCCCCCAATTGTTCCAAGACTTACTGAAAATCAAAGTTGAGAGACCAGTGATCTCCTCAGCCTGCTCTTTTAAAACTCTTGGCTGCAAGTTATCTAAGCCTCCTGATTTAAAAATATCTAATTTTAGCAGCTATTCCCCTGGAAGTCCCTGGGAGCGCAGGACTGGAACTAGAGCCCAGAGCAGAAGCCAGAGCCTGGACTGCCCAGAGAGCCAGCAGCTGGTGGTGGACTTGGGGGCTGCTAGCACGGAACCTTCCCTGGTCTGGCAAATTCTCTCATTTGGGACCAGTCAGATCCCAATGGTAACAGACCAGGGAGGTCCAACCTGTAGTGCAGTCAGTGAAAATTGCACACGCTCCATACATGCTCACGAAACTCAGAGGGTTTGGCCCATAGATTTCTACTTACACTCAGCTGCTCCATTGTGTTATGCTGCAGCCCTTTTCCCAGCTGGGCTTTGATGTTGGTGAGCTTGTTCACTTTCGCAGTGAGCTGGCCAATCATTTCGTCTATTTTCTGCTGAGCCACTCGTTGCTCGAGAGCAATGACCTGAAGTGTGGCTCTCTCTTGGGTTTCAAGGTACCTTTTCATGGCACCAAAGTCTTCGGTAATCAAGCCTTTGATCTGAGACACATATTCCTGAAGGGCACCAGATGGGGAGTGAGTTCTACTAGCAACAGGAAGCTGAAGAACATCAGTCTCTACAGCCTGATCTAACCCCCTCTGGCAAGCGACTTCATTTCAGCACAATTATTTTTATTCAGAAGACGTGTACTTGGCACAAATTTGCACTGGTTGCAGCAGGAGTTTTGGCTGTGCTGGGAACGCAGAGTTGGGCACCTGTAAGCCTAAGGACAGCAGGCCTCAGTCAATGCTGAGACCGAGATTCTAGCTCAGTTCCTTGTGTGCCGGGCTCGGAGAAGTGCACATGCGTCCCACCCAGCTCCTTGGAGGGGGCAAGAGACACAAAGCCAGTCCATATGTCAGGCATGTCCAAAGTCCGGCCCGCGGGCCAATTGCGGCCCGTGTTCCGGTTTAATACGGCCCCACGGGTAATTTGGCAATATCTATCTTTTATGGCCCCCAATGAATCCATATGTATTGAGATGAATACATTGTAAAATCTCAGTTAAAGTCAGTTGGTCTAAATCAGTTATAAATATATTTGGACACAACATGTATACTTGGTGTTATGTTCCTGTTCATATTTTTTGAACTTAAAAGTTGACAGACAACCTTTATTACCAATAATATGTAATGTACTTTACAATGTTCCTGACATATATTTCAGCTTCCTGGATTTTTTTTTTCATCTGGCCTTCAGATATGAAAGGCAGAGTGATTTAACACCTGTTTAGATTTGTCATCCATGTGACGAAATGAAAAGTATGCCGTTTGCAATAAACTTTGCATAAAATAGTTAATTTGCATTTAATTTTAATGGTTCAAAGAATGTCAGGCAAAATGGTCGGCCCTCACACATGTTCACTTCATCAAATCCGGCCCTCTTTGAAAAAAGTTTGGACACCCCTGCCATATGTTTAGGGAAGTGGTGGGCAACCCACGGCCCACTGGGGTTGTGTGTGGCCCACAAAACATTGTAAGAGCTGTGCGCTTCCTCTGCATCTAATTGGCCCACGCTGCTAATTCTAGGCACGCATGCATGCCACTCCTCAGAGAAAGCCCTTGGGAGTGTGGGCGTAAAAGGGGGAATCAGAGGTGGATGATAATACACAGACTCCCTGCCCCATGTCGTCCTGCATAAAGATGGTGATGCAGCTCTCAGTGAAGGGTAAAAGCATAAATGAAGAGTGGCTGGTGCATGTACGTACATTCATTTCAGTACTGGACTGCTTAGTGCTGCTGATGGCATCCTGGACCACTTCAATTTGCTTGGAGACCTCACTTATTTCCCGCTCCTTCAGAGTGAAACATATGAATGTTTATTGATAGAACCTGTGTAAAAACTGTGATAGGGTTAGAGGACATGCTGGGGAAAAATACCTGTGCCTTGTTTACCCTAAATATTTAGTCTCAGATCCAGCCAGCGATTTCAGCATGCAATTCACTTTAAGCATGGCGCTAACCCCATCGAAGTCGATGAAACTACTCGCTAAACATCTGTCATGAGTTTATCTGCCTTGCAGGATCAGGGCCGGAGACTGTAGGGGATTTTCACTGTACTTTGTGTAAAGTGCTTTAGGTAATGAGGCTTCAGTCTCCAGTGGGGGCTTCCTAGATGCTACCATACAAATGATCGCTATTCACAATAGTTAATAGTCACTGTAATAATAATCCCCTGCTCTTATCCTCGCGGAGCCGCACCCACAGCGAACGAGACACTGGGTTTCTGCTGCTGTCCATGCATCCCAAACACCCATCGGTCCTGAGCTGCTTCAGTGAGCCAGCCGACAAGGTACCAGTTGTGGGAATGGTTTCCCAATCGGTCTATTGGGAAATGAACTGAAACCAGCAGATTCCATACAGGCCGCCAAATACCCATCAGACAGGAACCATATTAATCGCGGGTGCAGCCCAGCAGGGGCTTGAGCGCTCTGGCCCCAAACCAGCAAAGCACGTACAGTACTTTAAATCTGAGCCTGCAAGCAGCCCCTCTGCAGTCTCGTCAGACCTCCATGCTCATATGGCAGGATCTTTGCTGCCTGCCATCAGACCCACCAACAGCAATTCTAGGCCCCACGGCAAAAATCAATGGGCCCTCTGCCGCCATCCTCAGCCAGTGTCACAAACGCCCCCCCTCTCCCCAAGAAGCCCCAAATGCCCACACACACACCAAAGGAGCACTGGGCCAGGCCATCTTGGTCCCCCACCTGCTCTGAAGAGCCCCGGAGCAGCTCCCTTCCCTTCCCCAGACCCAACCTGCCTGCTCTGGGGAAAGCCACAGCAGCGTCTCTTGACCAAAAGATGTTTTTGATATGTGGGGCCCAGTAACCCCGCCCCAGATACTGCACAGGGCATCTCAAAAGAGCCTTTCCATCAAGAGACGCTTTTCAGCAGAGCAATAGCAGCAGTAACTGGGGCTCCAGGGCCCTTTTAAATTGCCAGGCCCCTCCCCCATTGCACCGCCACTCCCCATTTGGCAGGCCTACTACATAAAGTACTACATGACACAGCGGAAGAGGATGGCCCAGAAACACAGTGGCTCCCACCAACCCCCGCCAGCAGAACTCAGCTGTGCTGGGTGGTAGCAGTTCCATTTTTCTGCAGGCTCCCACCAGAAATGGGGGGGAGGGGGAGTCCCATAAGATAGTGGTTCTCAACCAGGGGTACATGTACCCCTTGGGGTTCACAAAGGTCTTCCAGGAGGTGCTTCACCTCATCGAGGTATTTGCCCAATTTTACAACAGGCTACATAAAAAGCTCTAGCCAAGTCAGCACAAAGTAAAATTTCACACGACTTGTTTATGCTGCCCTATGTGCGATACACTGATGTGCCAGTCCACTCTATAGATGCAGATAGAGTCACTTTTATAAGGATGTGGCAAAAACTGAGAAAGGAAGCAATTAGTGAGCAACAGCATGCTGGGACAGGCGGCCCGTCTGACGCCGTAAGCAAGTGGTTTCTAGGTGAGGGGAGACTTGGGGTCCTCCGCCCGATCCGACTCCCGAAGAGGGGGACAAGTAGGCTAGAAAGGAGGGGAGGCTCCTGACCAGAGTTCCCAGTACGCTGGGTGCTTGTGCAGCTGCGCAGGAGAGATTCCAACACTGGCCAGCTCATCAGTAGAGCGCCCACTCCCCCCCCCCAGTTATTTTCTACAGGTGGTGCACAGTGGCACAAGCCTTGGTGCACATACAATTATTCCACATGGAAAAGATCAGTGGGGCACATTGCTCCTGACTATGCCGGCTTCTCCCCAGGCTCTAGGCAGGCCCGGCAGAGGCTGTGCAGCACCACAGCTTCCCTTGCAACCCTGCAGCCTCGGCGCGGTCACAATAGCGAGAGGAAATGGGGGGGAGGGGGAGAAGATGAGGCAGTAGCCAAGGCCAGGTGCTGCGGGTAGGAAAAGGGGAGAAGAAGGGGGCGGCAGGACAGGACTGTGTAGCACTTTAAAGACTAACAAGATGGTTTATTAGATGATGAGCTTTCGTGGGCCAGACCCACTTCCTCAGATCAAATAGTGGAAGAAAATTGTCACAACCATATGTACCAAAAGATACAATTAAAAATGGTCTGGCCCACAAAAGCTCATCACCTATTAAACCATCTTGTTAGTCTTTAAAGTGCTACATAGTCCTGTTTTTTGTTTCAGCTACCAAACATAGGTGTGTCTAATTAAAACAAAAAATGAGGAGTAACGTTTGTTCGAACCAAGGGGTTTGATTCGAACTAACGCATCCCAGAGTGCACTTCCTGGTTCAAATCAGCTGTTGAGAGGAATAACATGTGGATGAGATTATGCTAATGAAGCACGGGATATTTAAATCCCCGCTTCATTAGCAATTTCAGTCAGCTACATTTGCATCCCTATCTCAAACTAGGGAGCAAGTGTAGACATACCCTTAGAGACTAACAACAAGATATGAATCTTATCATGAGCTTTCCTGTGCAAAACCCACTTCCTCAGATGAGATGATCTTGAGTGGAGTCACTCTGTGTGGCTGAATGTAGTGCAGTGAACGTTTAAAAGCCTCAGAGAGGTAGCCGTGTTAGTCCGTAACTTTAAAAACAAGGAGTAGACCCGTGGCATCTTAGGCTACATCTACACTGCATGGTTATTTCGGAACAAGCTATTCCAGAAGAAATATTATTTACTTTGAAATAGCGTGTCTATGTCATGTATCTGATGAAGTGGGTCTTTGCCCACGAAAGCTTATGCTCCAATAAATCTGTTAGTCCACAAGGTGCCAAAGGACTTCTCCTTGTTCATGCAGATTAAGACTAACACGGCTACCCCTCTGATAAAAATATAGACAGTATCATGAGATAGGGCCAAAGATGAGGGTTAAATACACCGCCTCTCACCCAAAGGGAAGCCAAGTTAGAGTGGCCTTTCCTAGATGGCTGAGGTCTTGTGAAAGTCACCCTGCACCTCTCATGTATCAGAGAGGGGCAAGCCCAGGAAACCTACCTCTCTAGAATCTCTCTCCAACTACCTGGTTTTCAGACCAAATTAACTGGGCTTCTCTTGTCAGAGCTGCGAAATGAACGTGAGTGCAGTTCACACCTGGAGGGCACTTTGGCCACAAATCAGTTACTTAATATCTAGAGCTGTGTTTCTTAAACTCTTTAAGACCGAGGAACACCGAACAATAATTTTTTTATGAGGAACACCAAGGATTTTTTGTTGAGTAGAAAAAAAAGGATTGGGGGGAAGTTATTGAGCAAAACAAAAAGGGAATCGGGGGGAAAGTTATTGAGCAAAAAAAAAAATCACCTGTCCCTTTAAGGGTAGCCATGTAGGGAGTAGCAAACAGGGTTACCCTAGGGCCCCACACAGCCAAGCTGCTCAGGCTTTGGTTTCAGCCTTGCATGGCAGGGCTTGGGGGCTTTGTCTTTCTGTTCTGGGCCACTGTGAGTCAAAAAGCAGCACTGCTTGGCCCCAGAAACCTGTTCATGGCCCCCTATGGGACCATGGGCCCTTGGTTGAGAAATGCTACAGTGAGCAGTCATGACATGACTCTTACGGACTTCCGTGAGAATTGGATTGGGCCTTTTGTGTTCCCATCACTGTGACATTTAAGTGCCAATCAGTCACATATTAGTAGTTCAGTGTAAGTATGTTAAATATTGACTAATTGAATAATAGATAGGATGATTCCGCCTTTGAAGTGTAGCAACAGCCCTAGGCTGTTGCTACACTTCAAAGGTGAAAGCGCCGCATGGACCCCGCAGGTGAAGTCTCCAGCTGATCCTGGGCTCCATGCGGCACTGCTGCTTTGAAACGCGGCATGCAGCCTGACACTGGGCTCCCCACGGTGTTTCAAAGCAGCAGCACCGCATGGAGCCCTGGGTCAGTGGGGAAGTCTCCAACTGATTCCTGACTCCCTGCGGTGCTGCCACTTTGAAACACCGGGAGGACCCTGACACCAGGCTCCCTGCGGTGTTTCAAAGCGGTAGTGCTGCACGGAGCCCAGGTCAATGAGGAGATCCCAACTGCTCCTGGGTTTCACTTGGCGCTGCTGCTGTGAAATGCCATGTGGAGTCTGGGGACACCCCAGCTGGCTCTGAGCTGCACGTGGCATTTCAAAGCGGCAGTGCCAAGTGGAGCCCGGGGTCTGGCCCCAGGCTTCAAGTTGTGCTGCCTCTTTGAAGTACCTCCTCCTCTTCCCCCCCCTTGCTGCCTCTTTCTGATAGAGACAGCAAGGAGTGGGGGAAGTGACTAGTTGACTAGCATGACTATCCCATAAGCATTTACTGGCAAAGACACAGTCAGGTCAAACTCTCTTCCCACAACCCCAGAGGAGTATATCTCGAATTATGGCCAGTCCAGCAAAGTATTCAGTATGCTGAGCACCCTTAACTTTCAGCTGACATGACTGTGCTTATAGCTAAGGCCCCAGCAAATTCATGGCCATGAAAAATGCATCACTGACTATGAAATCTGGTCTCTCACCATGAAATGTGGCATTTGGTTGGCTTTACCGTATACTATACAGATTTCATGGGGGGGAGACCAGTGGTTCTCAGATTGGGGGGCTCTGACTAGTAGTTGCAGTGGGAAGCCACAAGGACATTTATGGGGGACCACTCTTATGCCTGGGCTTCCTAGAGAGGTGGGTGGCCTGAGAAAGGAGGCTGCTGACCAACACTCCAGCTCTAAAGTCAGCAGAGCAGACGTAAAGGTGGCAATGCCATACTATGCTCCCGGCCAGCAGCCGCCTCTCTCTAACTGCCCAGCTCTGAAGGCACTGCCACTGCCAGGAGGCATGCAGAAGTCAGTGTACAGTCCTGCAATCCCCACTACAATAACCTTGTGATCCTCTTACAACTCCTTTTTGGGTCAGGACCCCCACAGTTACACCACCATGCAGTGGCATAGAGAGGGGAAGTGCATGTAGGGGGGAGTTTCCTCCAGGCGCCACACTGGGGGGCGCCAGTTTAGTCTCCCTCCACTCCCCCGGCTGGAGCCTCCTCCCCCTTTCTCCGCCCCCAGCTTGACACTCTTCCATCTCCACCGGCAGGTTAGCGCATGCAGGGTCCCAGCCTCAAACTGGAGGGGTCGGAAGAAGACGCAGTACAAGCTGCCCCCCTTCTCCAGAGTCGGGCTCAGCTGTGCGCCAGGTTCAGGGCCCCGCTGTGTGGTGGCAGCGGGGAAGGGGTGGGTGCAAATTTTGCCTTTGCCGCCAGGCACATAACACCCTCGCTACACTTCTGCCGCCATGAAGTTTCAGATTTAAATAGCTGTAATCATGAAATTTACAATTTTTAAAATCCTATGACTGTGAAATTGACCACACTGACCTTCCCGAGAGAGAAAAGATGTGAATTTGCTACGACCCTACCTATAGCTCTTACAAGTGCTAGACATGATTAATTATTGTTATTATTATTTATGTAAGTAGCCAGTCTAACTATGCAGCACACAGTAAATACCCTGTTCTCCCATGCTGTCCCATCGGGGGGAAGCCCATCTCGAAAATCCTGAGTCCACAATTTGCCGGCTTCTTGATCATTTTCACAAAAGAGTTTCAATACTTCCTGGTGTTTCTCCACCTCACTTTCCTCTCTCCTGTTTTGAGCAGTTTTCTTCAGACACTGGACTATTTCCACCATGTTGGCTAGCTGCCGGTTTGAGATTAAGTTTTCCTGATGGAAGGTCTTCCTACAATGAGGGCAGCGGACGCCGGGTCCTTGGTCCTTGCAGTGCTGGGTGATACAGTCTCGGCAGAAGCTATGGGCACATTTTGTGATTAGTATTGGGTCTCTAAAATACTCCAGGCAAAGAGAGCAAGTCACTTCATCTTCGAGATTTTTGACAGGATTAGCAGCAGCCGCCATGGCCTCCTGGGGAGAGAAAATACGGGAAGTTTCAGTTTCTTTTCTTATTATGAAAGACTGTCCACCGGAGAGCCCTGAGAGGAGGAGCACTTTGTTCCTGCTCCGCCCATCTGCTACGTAAGAATCTAACCCCTTCCGGCTAGCAAACATTGGCCACCATTTGTGGGTTGTGCTCATGAAAGCTCACGATACCATCTACATGTTTTGTGAGTCTTTAAGGTGCAGCTAGACCATTCGTCGGTGTTTTAAGTTTTTCCAGGTACAGACTAACTCGGCTCCCTCTCTGAGGCTATTGGCCACTGTGTAATCTAAATCTCGATCTATAATGATACTCATAGGGATTTGCCCACAGAGATTTTCTCTGATCATAGAAGCAGCTCTGGCTCTCAAAGCCCTCCAAGTTTGGGGCTGTATGGATCTGGGATCTAGCTTAGGCTGAAAACACACATTTCCATGACACTCCTCCTTCCTTCCGAGTTCCTTTTGAGTGTTTGGCTCAGTGTTCTGCTAAACTCAAAGCTTGGCTGCTCACGACTGTGTTAGCAACTGGACATCTGGCTGAAGTTAATCATCATGCACTTAAGAAATACTGAGCTTCCTTATACAAGAAGCCTCTTCAAAAAGAAGTGAACCCTAACAGAACAGTGCAGAGAAAATGTCTCCTCAGCTCAGTACATTATTTTCAGCTTGCTCAATAAGTAGGAGCCATCCATCCTCCCATTCCTTGTCCTCTGCCGCTCTCTTGTGGCCACTTCATTTCACACAACAATCAGCCTGATTCTGAAAGCAGCTGAACACCTGTAACTTCTGTGAAAGAAAATCAGCATCACACTCTTCACCAAGAGGGAATCCTCTATTGTTCTTGCTAAAGACGGGTTAAAAAGAGCACTTTGTTATTTGAAATGTACTGAAAAAGACAAGCTGGATACAGTAAATAAAAAGCTAGAGACAAAAATAAACTGATGAATGGTAATAAAGAGAATAAGTTCTGGGCATAGAAATACATTGGGCTAGATTCTGATCCCCTTGCACCACCTGATGGGACCTTACTCCACAAGTGACCCAGTGCCGTGGAGCACAGAGGCCATGTTGGGTCTGGGATGGGGTCATGGTTTGAGGATTCCCGGCTGCTGAATAATCCTGAAGTAGCTCTAGGACAGGGGTGGGCAATAACATGCAACAGTTCGCTAGGGTTAGCCCCTGAAGGGCTGTCGCGGCTATATTTACCACCACGGCCAATCACAGCTCCTGTTGGCTGCGAATCACCATTCCTGGCCAATGGGAAAGGCAGGAAGCGGCGTGGTCCAAGACAAGAAGAGAAGTTAAAGCGACTGGGACTTTTCAGTTTAGAAAAGAGGAGACTGAGGGGGGATATGATAGAGGTATATAAAATCATGAGTGGTGTGGAGAGGGCAGATAAAGAAAAGTTATTTATTAGTTCCCATCACAGAAGAACTAGAGGACACCAAATGAAGTTAATGGGTAGCAGGTTTAAAACTAATAAAAAAAAGTTCTGACTACACACAGTGTGTAGTCAACCTGTGGAACTCCTTGCCAGAGGAGGCTGTGAAGGCTAGGACTATAATAGAGTTTAAAGAGAAGCTAGATAATTTCATGGAGGTTAGGTCCATAAAAGGCTATTAGCCAGGGGATAGAAATGGTGTCCCTGGCCTCTGTTTGTCAGAGGCTGGAGAAGGATGGCAGGAGACAAATCGCTTGATCATTGTCTTCGGTCCACCCTCTCTGGGGCACCTGGTGCTGGCCACTGCCAGCAGACAGGCTACTGGGCTAGAGGGACCTTTGGTCTGACCCAGTATGGCCATTCTTCTGTTCTTATCACTTTCTGCCACTCTCATTGGTTGGGAACAACGATCTGCAGCCAACAGAAATGCCGATCGCCTGTAGCCATGCAGGTAAATATAATGGTGGCGGCCCGCCGGGGCTGACCCTGGTGGACCAGATCTGGCCCACGGACCAGTATTTTCTCACCTCTGCTCTAGGAGGTTGTCCAATGGAACCACTTGTGGAGTACGGTTGCCACTGAACATCAGTGTCAGAATCTTGCCCAGAGAAAGAACAGAGACCAGGCATGGTCCAGTAAGCATGTCCAGTGAAGCCACAAACCATGATCTGAGTTAGAGAGGCAAAGCCATCTTTAGGATTTACGGGGCTCTACGCAGTACTATTAAATTGGCACCTCTATGCCTAACGGCAGCCCCACAGGTGAGGTGGGGGGGATGGTTTTCTTTAGAGATGTGATTTTATAATCTTCAGCAACGCACTAACGAAATGTTTATAAAACAAATCTTAAACTAAGGCCCTGTAGACTACAGTAAATTCAGAAACAGTATACACAGCCAATGCCTGTTACATGACTTCATTACCAATCGAATGGCTCTGTCATGGATTCAGTGGTCTGCTAATAGCTCTGGCAGGCTTTTTCACGGGTAACTAGATCCCCTCCGGAGGAAGCAGAACCACAGAACAGGGATAAAAAGAAATGAGTGGGGAGACATTGGGACCCAGTGGTGCCCCAAATTTTCAGATGCCCTATACAGCTGCATATAATGCATATGGTTAAGGACGGCCCTGTAGACAGGGGTCAGAGACACAAAGATCATGTCTCCACAGCTGACTGCAGGCCCAGCTTTAATCTGTACAAGTCCCTAGGTATGGACTCACATTGCTAGCCCTGTCTGAAGCTGATGCTGCTGTCTTTTTTTACAACTTTTAGCTATACACGCTGCAATCACACCTTTAATTGCAGTGTAGCCTAAGGCCAGTACCTGACCCAAAGTTCTGGAGAGTTCTGATCTGGAGCTTTGGTTCAGACTAAAGATGATTTTGAACAGAAAAATGAAACCAACCTGGCAAAAAAAAAAATGTTGAGGTCCAACAAAATGTGTATTGAAACTCAACATTCATTCGTTCGTTTTCTGAGAGTGAATTGCCTGGTTTCATAACAAAACACCCATGACAGCTGGTGATACAACAGATCTTCTGGTTCCCCAGAAATCAGGTGCAGCATGGACCAAAATTCTTGGGTATCGGCATTGTTGGTAGCACATGAGACTTTCTTGGGTGAAATTCTGCAGCCTGCATTTTCCCTAGATGATCTATTTATTGGTTCCTTCTGGGCTGAAATCAGAGGTTTTCTGGTTTGACCTCACACTCTTTAGTTTGGTTAAATTCAGCACAAAAATTAGGGGACATAAAACAGTGTGGTGCAAAACTGATCCAGGCCTGAACCAACACCATTCGAATCAACCAGGGGCTGATTTCACTGGACACAGGATGAGCCTTTTAAAAGATTTTTGAATAAAAGGGTGAACTGAAACCAGCATGACTCATCAGGCCTCCTGGAGAGGCAGAAGCAGCTCCTCCTGCAAGGTGGGAGCTAGAGAAGCAGATTGCTTAAGGCTGAAGGATGATGAACTCGATGAGTTAAATACAATGAAGTTCCAGCCCAAACTTTTTTTTCTGAGATGCAGCAAAGTTCTGTTGAAATCTTGCCCTCATCCAGAGTGAGCTACTTTGGGTGCTTCAGGAAGGCTGTCTGTCAGGGTGCAGGCCCCCCATCGTGCCTCAGTGCCCCCTGACTGTCCTCATCTAGCCCCTCTCAGTGCAAGCTACAGTCTGTACGGGTTGCTCATCATTGGCATTGGGGTTATCTCTACTGCCCCGCTTACCCAGGCTGCATTGTGATCTGCCTCCAAACCCTGGGCCTTGCCTCCGGCCCCTAGCCAGGGGGAGTCTTGGCTGGCCCCCTCCCAGCCCTAGCTGGCTATCCCCAGCTGGTCTCCCTCCTGGGAGCTCCTACTTCCTCTGCTGTCAGTCCTTCACTAGCTCCCCCCACTAAGCAAACTGTGCTTCTCTATATAGCTGCTGGCTGGGCTCTCACTCGCCCTAACGGCTTCAGCTGGCCTCTCCAAGCCAACTGTGCTGCACTACATAGCTGCCAGCTGGGCTCTCACTAGGCCTAACAGCTTCAGCTGGCCTCTCTGTTCCCAGCTCAGGGCCTGAATCCTGGTCTTAAAGGGCCAGTGCAGGGCAGGCGCCCTTTCACACCAGGCCCAGAGCAGGAAGTGCAGGCAGCCTCACCATACATTCTGCTTGCAAGCTTTCCAGCCTGATCTGCAGACGAAAACAGTCCAAATACAAAGAAAACCACCCAGACATCTGGCTGCTTGATTGGACCAGACCTCTGAACTTGTCCATCCAAAGCAGTAAGCGGCAGGCCTGGTGATTCAAAGGGACCTGGGGCTCCCGGCTACCACCACTGCTAGTGCAGCAGCACCTGAAGTCCTTGGCCCTTGACATCGCTGCTGGAGAGCTGAAGGGCATGTTCTGTGCAGCTCTGAGGGCTGGCTGCTCTGGCCCCGCCCCTTCCACCTGAGCCCCTCCCCCTTTTTCATGAGGCTCCTCCCTTTCTGGGGGACATGAAACCACACCCCCATATCTTGCCCAAGGACTTGTGGAGGCTGTCAGCTCCCCTGGTGAGAGGAGTGTTCCTCAGTGGTCAGAGGAGAGGACGAGAGGTCCAATTCATTGTTGCCCGACGTTGATTGACACGGGTGCAGAGTGGGTATAAAACACTGCCACATGGCCCTGGGCGTCTGGCCTTGGAGTCCTGCCCCCAGTTCTGGCACTGTGGGCCTAACAGCAAGTCAGAAATGGCCTCTGATTGGTAGGCCCCACATAGGCCTGATTGTCAAGAGTGTCTCATCCCATCGTCCCAACTGAACTGATCTGGATTGCAAGTGCCCTGTGCTTCTGAATGCTGTCTCAGACGGGATGCCCCAGATCTGTCCTTGCTTTTGACAAAACTTGGCCTTTCCCTCTCTTTCCTGCCAGATTGCCCAGGTGCCATAAGGAGTCAGAGTTGAGATCCTGGGATGAAGGTGGCTGCATGGGGAATCCTCACTATTGTTATTACATAGGCAGTCAGAGCAGGTCAAAACTGTCTTTTATTTTGCCATAGTCTGTGGATTTTGTTATCCAAATGTACAGAACAGCTAAGGGACTTCGTGCCACTTGTAACAAAAGGGGGTGATTCTCTTCTTTGAACCCATGGGACATCTCCTGGGAGAGTCTGAGAATCCGCTGAAGCCAACCAGAGATAGGGTGCACCCTCCCCGCCGCATTAGGATATGCCCGTAGGCTGGGTGCTCAGTACTGGCATAACATTGCTCCTACTAGAGTCAATAGTAAAACTCCCACGACGTCACATCCGGGCCAGGGGCAGCCAGACCTAATAGAGCCCTCAGCCATGAGACAGGAGTTGGGACCCAGGAGGTCAGAAGCAAACCATATGTTGGGATCCGGACTCAGGCTTGGTCAGGGTATCAGTGGATCAAAGGCAGGAGACAAACTGGATGTCGGGATCCGTGAGTCAGATGCCAGAGGAGCACAAGGCCTGCAGTCCGGAGCCGAGGAGAGCCCAGTTCAGACAGCTTCCTGGTCCCACGGCTGGTTTAAGTAGGGTCATCACTTGCCCTGGGACTCTACCATTTGGACTTCAGGAGAGGAGCCTTATACATGGGTCTCAGGGAACCTCTTGCCAGCTGGCTGGTGGGTGGAGGGCTGGAGTGTGGCCACCCCTAAAAATCTTGCGGGCCCATGTTTGAGACCTGTGGGTCTGATTTCAGTGGGAGCAGAGCCAGGGCTAAGCCTTTTGAAAGCCCTCCCCACAGGCCCTGCCAC